GTAGTAGAAGGCATACTCGGACAACATCGACGTCATTCATCCGAGTAAAACCATCTTTCTTATTAAACAATTTCTTCATGTCGTCGACGTGTAAGTTCGGCTTCTCTATTGACTCATCAGGAAAAACCCTGGATAACCATGATGGGCGGGTGATATGACGAGTGTACCGGCCTACATCATCGTGTCCGAATCGTAGACCAGTGATTAAGCAGAACTCCTTCCGCCCAAAACAAGTTTACGCCGGTGGAAAATGAAACCATATCTCTTCCTCACCACGTTGTATACTGTCGGGTAGATCGCTAGTCATGGTCTGAAGCCACAAATGGGTCAAACTAGCATCTCCACCCGGATGCTGTACTCTCAGCCATGGCCCGAAGCAGGTTTCTTCAAACAATTTTCTTTGTGCAGGTGAAAGCTTCGAAGCAATTGTAGTGGCTAGGCTAACTTTATTCCTTAATGTCAATGAAGCCGAAAAAAATTTCTACAAAAAAACAATAAACATATCAAGTTAGATATACCAAAAATTACACTGTCAAGATATACCAAAAACAAAACAATAAACATAAATAGTAGTTTATTCTTGAAACTAAAATTTGCAACACTGTTTCTGTCTTTTGGTTGAAATGAAAATCGCAACGAGATAATGAGAATCACAACGCGGAAATGACTATCGCAACGAGAGAATCGCAACGCGAAATGACTATCGCGACCAGACAATCGCAACGCGAAATGAAAATCGCAACCTCGAAATTAAAATCGCAACGCGAAATGAAAATCGCAACGCGAAATGAAAATCGCAATGCGATTTTGGTTTCGCGTTGCGAATTTTTATTTCGCGTTGCGATTATCTCGTTGCGATAGTTATTTCCGCGTTGCGATTTTCATTCTCGAAACTATTCTTCTTCTGCATTACTTCAACCAAAAGACAAAGCAAAGACAAATACTAACTTCACAGGCTAAACAGTTTAGCAGTATTGGCAGCAATCGAATGAATTTAATAAGAAATCTAAGTGAAATGGTTAATCTATTATTGAAATTACCAGTAAACTTATCATCAATCTCAATATGAAAAACCTAAAATAATGCAAAAATTTCAAAATAAAAATAAAAAAAACTAACCCCCGGAGGTTGATTTTCCATTTCTGAATGATTGTGAGGGATTTTTGACTGTGAATGGTTGTGAGGGATTTCGCCGGCGATGGGGACGGAAATCTTCGGAGATGGGGACGGATTTCGCCGTAGAGAGTGAGAGATGGAGATGGGACTGAGTGTTGTGTTTTTGGGTTTGAGGTTATGAGTTGCGATTACTGTGGACGGTTCATTTTCCGATTTATTAAGAAAAAATATGTGTTTGGAATTTGAAAAAAAAAATACGCGTTAATACGAATGACGCTAAGTAAATCGCGTTGCGAAAGTCAGTATCGTGTTGCGAAAGTAAGTATCTCGTTGCGATTTTTTATTATCGCATTGCGATAGTCAGTATCGCATTGCGATTTTCCCAATTCGCGTTGCGATTTACTTATTCGCATTGCGAATTTCCCAATTCGCGTTGCGATTTACTTATTCGCATTGCGAATTGGGAAAATCGCAACGATACTGTAGACCATCGCAACGCGATTTTCAACTATCGCATTGCGAAAATGCAACGCGAATTTGCGATAATGGAGATCGCGTTGCGAATTAGCGATCGCATTGCGATTTTGTTGGTCATTTTGGCAAATCCGAAAAAAGTTGGTTAAAATCGTATATTATATGGGATTTTTGGTCACTGAGGTTATTTTCTCTTTTAAAAAATATGTTTTATTGAAATAAACTACTATTGTTTTTTAAACTATGATTTAATTTACTCTGGTTTTTTGGGAATACACTAGACCTCATTTTTCAATCTCCTGAATCTGTCTCTTTTAATATTTCCTCTGAACTGTAAGTTTCTCGACAGTTACGTGAAGATTTTAAATAGCGAAATCTCAACTCATCACTAGGAATTGTCTATGCCTGGATAACTAAGAAAATTTCATGATTTGACTTATATATGCTTATTCTCTGGCTTCATCTGGTAGTTTTGTATTACTGAATTTTTTAAAGTTCACTCTATTACTCAATGTTTTAGGTTTAAGGAGCTGATCTCGTGTTGTATCGACATCAATAAGGAAGTTCTTTCGGCACTACTTGCAGACTAGGTACAAGTGTAATTAGGGGGCATATATGTCATATTTGTTTTTATACTAGGTCTGAACTTGTATGGTTTCAATTTTTTTTTAATATATAAATGGTTTATGTATTCGTATTTTTAATTATAATTATTTCACGATTTGAAATGATTTAATAAAAGATTTTAATTTTTCTTAAATTTTTAGAGTGAGTCACTCCGGTATCTCTAATGTAATACGGTAGATACAGAGGAAATGCTGGTACGATACTTTTGAGTGAATGTATAATGATAATAAATGGAAAACATAAAAAAGGTTTGTAACTAACCGGCTCAATTATGTCATATCCACATCAGATTTCCAACATTACCACGTAAACGATGACAGTAGCTTATTTTCTTAATCATCAATATTTAATTTATTGATTGATTACTTAAATTTAAATACAATAAATCAAATACGAGGACAATTCTCTTATCTTAATTTTCTCCATTTAAAATTATAGTTCAAATTAGAAATGGACATGGGTCGGGTTTTCGGCTAACCTAACATGAAAAATAGACCCCCTCCACCCAAACCCAATTAGACTCCAGTTTAAGATGACTTCACATGACTTGTATTTTTTAGATAAAACTCGAACCCAACCAGAAATAAATATATCTATAAAAAGTTATTAATTTTATTCAATAAAATAGGGATCTAAGTGAAAAAAAAATAATATATAGAGTGGCATGTTGCAATTATCCCTAAATATATCAGATATAATTACATTATTTTTTGGGTTGAGTCAATTATTTTTTAGCTTAAATCCGAACCTGAACCAACCGAAATATAGACCTCCTCCACCTGAACCTAATAGATCTGAGGGTAACTTCACCCGACCTGAGTTGATGTAAAAATAATTGTTCAAACTATACCTAAAATTAACTTTAGGTGCCTAAATAAATTTTTTTTTAAATTAGATGTCTGACGTTTCTAACATTACATTGTTAGGTGCCTGGACCGTAACCACCTTAAATTCAGCCGTTAGGTGACTCGTGTCAAACATATAAAATTCAATTTTTTTAAATAAATTTTTTAAATTTTTATAAGAGTGACACATGTCACTTAATGATCGAATTTAACGACAGACACCTAAAAATGTAATATTAAAAACTCTAAACACTTATTTTTAACGAAAAAAATTTTAGGGGCCTAAAATTAGCAAATCATAAGATTATTCATTCGTGTATCACATTATATATAAATGGAGGTTTATATATAATTTTAAAATGAATTATTATTTAGTACGTTGTGACTTCATGTATCTTTAAAATGATAACGAGTGTCAAAATTAAATTTAAACAAACTCCAATCATTTGATTTAATTTGAATTTTATAAATTTTATTTGATTTTAAAAAAAATTAAACAAAACTTTAAATTATAAAATAAAACTCAACAATTCAATTAACTTAAAATCTTTATACTTGAGGTTATAACAGGTATGATTAGCAACACTAACCACTGACCAATTATCATGCATGCCCAAATGCTCCGTTCCAATGGAAAACATTTATTATCATTAGGGTAAATTACACCAGATACCATTGAACTTTAGATATCATATTATTTATATCACTAAAGTTTTGATTTTATCAATGATACACTGAATTTTGATTTACGTTTCAATTATGCCACTGTCAGTCAGATCAAAACGGTGTCATTTTAGTTAGTTGTCCATGTTGATGGTCGTCAGTCACATCAACAACAATCAATCATGCCATATGTCGTTAATGATTTAACAGTTTAAAAGTATAATTGAAATAAAAGTGAAAGTTAAATGTTATAATTGAAAAAATTGAAAGTTCAGTAGTAGAAAGGATACAACACCCAAAGTTAGGTGATGTCTGTTGTAGTTTACCCTTATTATTATTATATATGCAATTTAAATAATCCCATTTATATCCTTCATTGTTTTCTCCGCCGTTTATTTATTTATTTTATAATATCTGCAACCGATCTCAGGGCAGCTGATAATAATATTGGCGGAAATATTAATTAATATTATTGAATGTTTTTTCAAAAATAATGCATATTATTTTTTATTAGTTTAGAGTAATTATAATATAATATAATGTAATATAATATATATTTAAAACATTTTATTCATTCGATAATGAATATTTAAATATGTCTTTATATATGTCATGTTTGAACCTAAAATTTTAGTATCGCTTTATCATTGAGATCGTTTGACTCGTGAATGTATATTAAAAATGTCTATAATATAAAAATACATGTATGAATTGGATCGTAAAAACAAATTATTACTCAAAATAGTTTTTTTGATTAATTTTAACCATTTGATAACGAATAGGCCTGTAAACGAACTGAATGTTTAGTGAACCGTTCGACGGAAATTTCGTTTATGTTCATGAATGTTAAGTAATCGGTTCGTTTATGTTCGGTTCATTTACAGACCTAATAATGAACACTCAAATATCTTGCAACCTCTGGTGTTTCAACTTAAGATCTCTAGAAATAACAACAATTATGTAACCCCTAGACCCAGCCTAGACGATACGATCGAATTTCGGAAACCACGACATCGTTTGATTAACAGAAATCGAGAAAATATTCCATATCTTAACATGCATCCTCGTTAAAATCATCAAAATCATGGAGTTCGTAATACATAACATACCATGAGTTTTAATTCAGAAACCAATAAAGTAATTTAGTAACCCAAATCCCATATATATATATATATATATATATATATATATATATATATATATATACACACAAAATAGGTATAAACAAAAAGAAAAAAAAAGTTCGAAAAGAAAACATCCATACAAGGTCTGAAAGAAAATGGCTGCTAAAGATCCTCCGAGTACCGATTGTACAGCTTAAAAGTCTGAGCAATCTAAAAAGACAAACTAGAAAATGAGCTACGAAGCCCAGTGTATCCTCTGAAGTAAAGTAGTTACCTTATTATATGCAAAATAATGTAAATAAAGTGTAATATTAAGTTCGAATTAAATTCACAGAATGCATCACCAATAACACACTACTTACATTTCGCCGCAAGTAAACAGAATAGGGATTTTCCATCCGAAGAGAATCCTAGCCCGAAGCAGAAATCAAAATGGGAGTTTTGCTCTTAGTCGAGAATCCCAAGCAGAACAGAACGGGGATATAATCCCAAGCAGAACAGAACGGGGATATAATCCCATGCAGACGTTGGAAATGCACCAATGATCATATCATGGGTGATGCAACATTATTCAGAAATACGAATGACACAGATAAGTGCAACCAAATTTCAACAAATTCTAACAGTAGTATTAGACATAATAGTCTAACATATCAGAGTATCAAATAGGTAAATAAGACACACCTAAAGAAGATAACCTACGTCAGCTAAGCCTTACGCTTTCTACGGTCTGAAGTACTAGGTCCAGTGGAACGGAAACCTAAATAATAATCCTCCATGAACACGAATTCTAAATAATTAAACATAAATATACTATAAAGTCGCTTATTTAACACTTACAGGTACCTCGGGATGAGTGACCAGAATCAAACTGCGTAGGTTGGGACTGATCAGGGTTTACTTGAGAGCGATCCAGAGATGCAAGAGTACTTTAAAAAATTATATCCAAAAGTGAGTTCAAAACCACACACTTTACTTAACAAATTTAAGACTTTAAATCACAAATTAATGACTTAAAACATGGCTTTCGGGTCATAATTTGACAAAACGGACTACAAATCGGACTCGGAACGTTGAAAAACATATAAATAGGTAAGGTAGCAATCTTGCTACGGATCTCCATATTCAAACCTCTCTCAAACAATATGCTCTTATCTTCCTCAGTAATAATAGGTCCAATAACATACGTAATAAGGCACATAAACTACATCTCATACTCATGAACGGTCATATCACCCTGTTTCAGATCCATAAACTTTTGCTTTGGCTCTTTTAGATAGCGACCACCAACAAAGCGACTCCGAAATGCACTTTGGAAAAACTCATAAGTCAAATAATCCCTTAAAGTAATCATCTTCACATAATTCCACCAATTTAGGGCATCTTCTTTTAATAGTGAAACAACAACATGAAGTCTCTGTTTAACCGGATAATCTTTCTCATCCAGTAAATGATCAATATCCTTAATCCAATACTCCCCAACAAACGGGGATGCTCGAGAAATCCCTCTGAAATACTCTGCCCCGTTACGCAACATCGTCAATGAGATAGTAGTAACAGTGTCTTCTGGATGGACCCCAACATATCTCTGAAGCAAACGTAAAACTACTACCAACAACAACATCTTCTAACTTATTAGTAACTCTGACTCTAGTGACAGGTGTTTTCTCAGTATGCTCAGTCGGATTAGAGGAATCAGACACTCGAGTATGACTAGTCGAGTCAGAAGAATCAGATACTCGAGTACACCCATCCGATAACTCGACCTCAGGGAAAGAAGGATCTCTATCAGAAATAGTCTCTCAGCTTCCACGACCTCGAGCACTATCATATCTGTGGCGAACTACAAAACAACGTGTACTCCTACGATGAGGCATACTAACTAACGTGTGATATCTGAAATAGAAGAATACACAAAAACTCAAGTCAGATCAAGTACTAGAGTCTCAAAACAGAATACTCACATTTGAAAACAGATAAGTTTAAAATCATCTAACATAATTTTTACTCAAAATGGAATTTAGAAAATATTTCATGTGCCCAAAAGTTTTTTATGTATGTAAAAATATTTTACAAACTAGTATAAAATTTAACGGGCACCACAGTTCGAGAGTTTAACTTGGCTCTGATATCACTAAATGTAACCCTTAGACCCGACCTGGATGCTACGACCGAATCTCAAAGACCACGACATCATTTGATTGAACATAAATTGAGAAAATATCCTATATCTTAACATGCATCGTCGTTAAAATCGTCAAAGTCCATGATTTCATAATACATAACATATCATGAGTTTTAATTCTGAAACCAATAAAGTAATTTAGTATCTTAAATCCCATAAAAAGAAATATATACAATAGGTATAAACGAACATAAAGCAAATAATAAAAAAAAATCTGAAAAGAAAACATCCATACAAGTTCTGAAAGAAAACGACTACTAATAATCCTCCGAGTATCGATCATACAACCTAAAAGTTTGAGCAATCTAAAAAGACAAACTAGAAAATGAGCTATAAGGCTCAGTGTGTCCTTTGAAGTAAAGTAGTAACCCAATTATATGCAAAATAATACAAATAAAATGTAACATTAAATCCGAATTAAATTCACATAATGCAACACCAATAGCACACTACTTACTTTTCGCCACAAGTAAACAGAATGGGGACTTTCCCTCTGAAGAGGATCCTGGCCAGAAGCAAAAATCAGACTGGGAATTTAGCTCTCAATCGAGAATCCCAAGCAGAACAGAATGGGGATATAATCCCATGCATATGTCAGAACAGTGATATAATCTCATGCAGATGTCATAATGGGGATATCATCGAATACAGATTTCAGAATGGGGATATAATGTCATGCAAATGTCGGAAATGCATCAATGAGCATATCATGGGTGATGTAACATTATTCAGAAATACGAATGACACAGATAAGTGCAAATAGATTTCAACAAATCCTAACATTAGTATTAAACATAATAGTCTATCATATCATAGTATCGAATAGCTAAAGAAGACACACCTAAAGAATATAACTTATGTCAATTAAGCCTTACTAGTCCCACAGTCTGAAGTACTAGGTCCAGTGGACGAGGACCTAAATAATAATCCCCCGTGAACACGGATTCCAAATAATTAAACATAAATACACTCTATAAAGTCACTTATTTAACACTTATGTATACCTCGAGATGAGCGAACATAATCAAACTGAGTAGGTCAAGGCTGATCAAGATCTACTGAAGAGCGATCCAGAGACGCAAGAGTACCTTCAGAAAATTAGATCCAAAAGTGAGTTCAAAACCTTACACTTTACTTAACAAATTTAAGACTTTAAATGACAAATGATTTAAAATATGTCTTTCGAGTCAGAATTTGACAAAACGTACCACAAAATTAGACCCAAGATGTTGAGAAACATAAAAATATGGGTTTTCAGAAAAAAGATAATGGTTAATGGTAAAAGACAATGGCCAAGGTCAATAATCAACGTCAATGGTCAAAGTCAACGGTCAACGAGTCAGGTCTGTCAACAGGTCAGGTCGAATGACCGGTTCAGTCGGTCGGTCCATGGGTGACTGGTTCGCAGATTCAAAACTGTCTTGCGGCAATTTTCACACCAAAATTTTCAGAAAATTAATTCAAAGCAAGGGGAACAACTTACCGGGGTCGGTTTATGGAAACAACGTCGGAAAATAGGTTTATTAACGAAACCCGAAACTACTTCCTCCCCGATAATGATAACGTCGGTAGCAAACAAAAAACGGTGACCACTGGACGAAGGAGCGCGTTACGACGAACAACGGAGTACCAAGGGTGTAAACCAAAGCCAACATAATCGACGAACAAAATGAATTAAACCAAAAACGACACTTATGTTTTTGTTTTGAAACAGGGGGAGATAGGGAAAACTAAGGCACGTTCGGGGTTGTTCAGCAGGGAAATGAGAGGAAAGGGGAAGGGAGTAGGGTTTTAAACCTACCTATGGGCATAATATGCCTTAAGCCCCCCAACTGACCAGAAATTACAAATAATTGTAACATTTTTAAAACATTTTAATTAGGCCAAAAAATGACAAATTACTTTAATTAATGAAGTATTTTGATTCGTGTTATCCAATTTTTTTAAAAAAATCATTAAAAAGAAAATTAATTGTAGTGGCCATATTGAACATTAATTGTAGTTAAATTAGACATACACAAATTTATGAAGTCTACCTACCCAAGCGGTATCGGGCAGTGGTCAAGAGTTATAAATATATGGTATTTCCAGTCCATCGAAGACGAAACGAAGAAGAAACAAAGCTCCCTCTCTCCCATTATTTTCTGCGTCTAATCTTCCCCCACTCTCAGCAAGAAAAAAAATGGGTTTGAAGGTCTGTTTTCCTTTCTTTTCTCTTCCTTTTTTCATTCACAATCTTATTAATTGATCTACTTTGTTCCTGGTTGTTTGTTTTGATGTTTAATTGATTCATATCTGTTTTACTTTTCTGGATTTTTTTTCACACTCGAACCGATTGTTATCAGGATAAATTCTGTTGTTAGTCCCTGTATGGTGTTTTAGTCGCGGATTCATTCCTTTAGTAAAAGTTTTGAAATTTCAGTCTTGATCCAAATAGTATTTGAAAACGAATGACTGAGATGTAAATTTGAACAATATAGGGACTAACAGCAGAGCTTGATCTTATTATCATCATGAAGAAAAGTCAATTTTAAGTAGATTCCCTCTAGATCTAGAAGTTTCAGGCACTGCTTTCAACTGTTTTTCCCTTTTGAGTTGCTTAAACTCTCTGTTATGTTGAAATCTGAGATTCAATCTCTCTGCTTTAATTTGGTATAATTTTGATTCTTTAGTTTTATAATGTTATTATCGACTTGGATTTACCGATTAAATCTCGATTTTTGGCTGACTAGAGGACTAGAATCATGGTTAGATCATTGTACATTTGTTGGTGTTTCACTTTCAGTATATAGTCCCTCAAAAGAAGCTGAAATTTGATCATACCAATGTTTTAATTCGATAATGTTGCGATTTGATCGTTGATTGTATAGGAGGAATTCGAGGAGCATGCCGAGAAAGTTAAGACCCTCCCGAAAGCCCCTTCGAACGACGACATGCTCATTCTTTATGGACACTACAAGCAAGCTACGGTTGGTCCAGTGAACACAAGTTAGTACACATATAACCCAATTTAACCTCTTCATTAGTAACTTAATATTGCTCAAACTTTTCATGCCTTTTCGGAGTATCTGTGTCCGAACGGCATCCGACGCACTAGATCTTTCTTATATATGAGAAAACTTGGAAATCATTAGCCATACATGTGCTAGATGCATATCCGTATCGTACAACTAGACTCGAGTCTGAGTAATACAGTTTATAAGTATATGGTGAAGGGACTAATGGGTTTTATTTTTCGTATACGAAGGCCGTCCCGGAATGTTGGACTTGAGGGGAAAGGCCAAGTGGGATGCATGGAAGGCTGTTGAAGGTAAAACTATGTTTGGCTCGGCATAGATCATTGGATTATTAGTTGGTTTTATTGGAAGTTGTTTATCATGTTCGAATCTGGTTTCGGTTTTCGACAGGGAAATCCCAGGAGGAAGCAATGGGTGATTACATCACCAAAGTTAAACAGCTGCTGGAGGCTGCTGGAATGGCTGCTTGATGTGTGTGACAACAAAAAAAAAAGGGAATAAATTCAAGCTCACATGGGTTTGAAACAAGTCATGACTAGGAATAAACATTGTACTCTTCTTCTATTGCTACCCTTTAAGTTATTACTGAGTTCGGGTAGGTTCGAAATTCGGTTATGCATGTTTTATGTTACTTGTAGCATGAACAAGGTCATTTGAATAAATCTTTATGGTGGTTGTGCTATTTGAAGGCTGTCGTAAGTTTCGAGTCTAAGGTCGAGCCGTTTCCTTCTTTTTATGGTGTTAGCATGTATAACTCAAGTACAGACAAAACTGTTCGAACCCGAGATTCGTGTTTTCTTACCTAGAGTCTCTGCACATGATATTAGTATTTGCATGTTTTGGCACCCATATCTGATTGATTGGGGGCATATATTCATATTGATGTGATTTGTTGTCTAGCTATTATTGAGAATGGTATGGGTTGATTTTGTATACTTTATTGCTGGTGGTTGGAGGGTAGTTGGTGGATTTTTCTATGATAAAATAATTGTCATGTACTATTTTTTAGTATTTGAATTTAAAATATTAATCAAATTGAAATTACATATATATAATCATATTAAATTAAAATTTATTTATTATATTATATATTTAATTAAAACTGATGTGTAAAATTTAAATTTTTTCATAATTTTATTATTCAAAATTCTGATTTACTCATTTTATACTTTTAAGAACTTTCCAATTTCAAAGAAGAGTTTTGAAAACAAAAAACAATAATAATAAAAGATAAAAATAAATGAAAAGAAAAATAACTAGGAAAATATAAAAGAATTGGAATCCCCTGATCAAGATGGTGTTTATTTGTTATTCCGTCGATCTTTCTTGCTTTGGACTCTCGAATTGGAATTGGATATGTGGTTGTATGTGGATCGTTTTCTCACGTCTCTCGACTCTGATTTGTAATTATCGGTGGTTTTTCAATAGTTTGATCTCTTTTATAGCTCATTTACCGATGTAATTAGATTTTTTCATATCTATCTTTTGTACGAGTTATTTGGTTGGATTTTTAATCTTTTTCTTATATAGTATGTGTACGATTTTAAGTGGCTAATTCCTTGTGTCAATAGTTTCTTGTGTATTAGTACATTGCTTATTCTTAGTTTCTTCTACTCGAGTTGTTCATCCCTTTCTCCGACAATTTCCCTACTGAAAACACGAAAAATCGATTCGAAAACGCAGTCGATTTACCTTTGACATTTCGGGACGGAATTCGAATCGGGAAATGATTTTTTTTGAATAATTCGAATCGAAAAATTAAGCTGTTAATAAGCCAGTATAAAAAAAAGGTATTCCCACGTTAATTTGGCAGGGCATATGATTCGAAACAAAATTTATTTTGATTTTTATTCTTTCATGTAAAGAATCTAACAGCTGATGCTTGACATTTTAAGATGCAAAGCTGAATTAGAATTAGATGCTATGCTTTAAAAAAGAAAATTCCACTTGATAAAATCAACATTTTTTTTGGATACATATTGGTATACCGTTAAAAAGAACGACGACGGAAGAACCTCGTTAAAAACGTCCCTAAGCCTAACACGATAAAATCAATATTAGTACTATATGATACACATTGGTATACCGTTAGAACCCCTCATTGGATTTGTTTATCCAACATTCTTCAAAAATTCTAATTAGAACTTATTAAAATATTATTAACAATAAGAAAGCTAAGTCTTCATTCTTCTACTTTAAATTTTAAACAATTAAATATAAAAAGTGTAAGTTACAAATTTGGTAATTAAACTTTACTCTCTCTTCTATTTCACTAACTGTACTTTAAATCTTTTCAATTTCCTCACTGAACTTAATACATTGGGGGTTTTTTGTCACCCAGCCGTTAAATAGTTAACGGTGTTAAAATGGGTTGTTATGTGACGCAAAACAACGTCGTTTTAGTTAATATTATTTTTTCTTCAAAACAATGTTGTTTTTAACGCCTTTAACTATTTAGTGGCGGAGTGACCAAAATAGGAGAGATGGTAAAGTTCCGAATGTATTAAGTTTAGTGAGGAAATTGAAAACTTTTGAAGTTTAGTGAGCAAAATAGGAGAGAGTTACGTTCAGTGATGAAATTTGTAATTTACCCACACAAAATATTGATTATATTTTAATAAAAAATCTAAACACTATAAAGCAACACTTATTGAGGGTGTGTGTGTCTATATATATATATAGTATAGGCCTACTGCCCCTCAATCTCACACACACAAAATCAAGCACATCCTTCTTAAAGACAAATATGGCAAAGAAGAAGCTTGTTCTGAAGCAAGAAGAAGAGCATGATTCCGTAACAACACAAGTCCGTCGTGCCGACTTTCCTCCTCACTTCGTCTTCGGTGTCTCGACCTCTTCCTATCAGGTTTTTTGTTTGTTTTCTTCGTCTTTTTTCGTATGTTCGAAGGATTATATCTTCGTATTCGTGTTCGAATATAAGTCGAACATGGTAATTGTAGATTGAAGGAGGTGTCGACGAGGGTGGCAGAGGGAAAAGCATATGGGATGTTTTCTCCCACACAGAAGGTATTTCCTTTTCTTGCTCCTAGTTCGTTCGTAAAACTCGAATTTTACGAGTACTCGATCAACTGAATCAACTCATGTCGACTAAAAGTACCTTAATTTTTTTGTTTTACCAGGAAAAATTGTTGATGGAAGCAATGCTGATGTCTCTGTGGATCATTATCACCGGTACAAGGTTAGTTTGTGGAAGTTCATGATGCTTAACGTTGTCAAATTCATTACAAGGTGCATTCCAAGAATTATCTTTAATGTTCTGTCAATATATATATATATATATATGTTATTACAGGAAGATATCGACCTTATAGCTGAGTTGGGGTTCAAAGCTTACAGGTTTTCCATATCATGGCCCCGGATTTTCCCAGGTATGTGTGTATATATATTGTTAAAAGATAACATGCACAGTGATCACACAATAAATTAGACACTAAGATTATATATAGAAACCCTTTTAGGAGGGACGAACATGATTTTAAATTGTGATATTTAAATAAAATCATAATTTTTTTAAGTTGGGTTTCTTTTGCTATTCAAAAATCAACCCCCAACGTTTACTAAAATGATGATTTTGTTCTATATTCTTTTTTTTTGGAGAATTTTGGCATCAAACATTTCATTTTAAGGCAAAAACCCCCCTAATGTTCAACTGAATAGTCATTTTAGTTCTTATTAATTCTTTTTTTTTCTAGAGCATTTTGACCCTCAAGGTTTCATTTTAGGACAAAAATATCCCTCTTCTAGAGTGTTAACCATTTGTTAGCTAAGTTTATTTTCATACATAAAGGGGTATTTTTGCCCTAAAAAGAAATATCGGGGCAAAATTGTTCTAAAAAAAGAATAAGGACTAAAATGATTATCTGAATGAACGTTAGAGACTAATTTTAATACTAATACATTTCTTTTTTTAAGGGGTCAAAATCTTTCTAAAAGTGGTCATTTATTTATTTTATATTATATATTATAAAATTTATATGGAAAACATTTTTATAGAAACTTTTGGGGGTGTCATTTGACACCCTCATCTATAGTGGCTCCGTCAGTGTATTTTAAAATTGTGCGATCATTATACATGTCGTTATCTTTTTCGTAAATATATATATTCATTTGGAGACATTATAATAAGACATTCATATATGGTGTTAATGGGTTGCAGATGGTTTGGGAACCAAAGTTAACGAGGAAGGAATTGCTTTCTACAACAACGTGATTGATTCCCTTCTTGAAAAAGGTACATGATGCTACATCTCTGTGCTTGACTCCCGGTGAATCTTGTCAAGTTGGAGGGGTTTAATTAAATTTTTTAAAAATTCTGAGGTGTTCAATGAGAATTTTTGAAAATAGTTGGGTAGCCAATTAAATTTAGGGATAATTGCAATAATGCACGTCTCTTTATATATATTTTTTCAATTAGATCTCTACTTTACTAAATGAGAATTATATATGTATTGGGTCGGGTCGAGTCGAGTGTGGATTTACTCTAAAAATTAGGTTGGGTTTCGATAGGGATGACAACGGGTCGGTTTGAGTCGAGTTTTTGATTAACCCAACCCGACTCGAAAAATATATACTCTCCACCCGAACCCAGACCCGACCCAAAAAATATATATCGTCCACCCAAACCTGACTTGACCCGAATATATATATATATATATATAAACTTGATCCAATTCGAAAATATATGTATCCTCCACCTGAATCGACTCGAAAAACATATACCCTCCACTCGACTTTGACCTAACTTTAATTTTCAGAGTATAAATCCGATTTGACGCTAGTCGACCCAGTATAAATAAGGACTTAATTAAAAACTAATATATAGATGGGGTATTATAGCAATTATTCATAAATTAATTTGATCAAATTACACTATTACCCGGGGGTCGGATCGAAGTTTTTTCACCCTCCACCCGAAGCCCACCCGTCCCGATATGACATCAAACCTTTAAAAAATTCGACCCAATCTGACCCGAACTCAAATTTATTTTTAAAAAAATCTGTCCGTATTAAGTCGGGTCGGGATCCGTCGATTTCGTATTAAATTGTCATCCTTAGATTTCGAGTTGAATAAAGTTTTTTAAAATTTGATTCGGATCAGGTGATAAATGGAGGGTATAAACTTTAGGTCGAGTTCAAGTAGGAAAAAAATTAGCCCGGTCTAACGTATGCGCATCCCTAATTATGGTTCGCCTTGCTTCCATATAAATGTGGATAAAATATGTAGGCAATCCCTGCACTATGACAAAGTTTGAAACATAGTCCAAATTAAAAATTAAATCTTCCTACTTTTGGATTTAAAATTTTTAATTCCATCAGCATTGTTCATAATTTCTTCAAAATCTGCAAACTCAACATGTCAACTAGGGTGCCCTCATATGATTGTTGGGAAACAAACAAGATAAGTTGGCAAATTTTGACAGGAATGATAGTGTGTAGGGACTCAATTGCAAACTTTGTTGAAGTACCGGGACTACGGCATATTTTGACCAATGAATTAAAATTGCAATATATACTTCTTAGGGAATATTGCCTTTGTGCACTTAACAGGTATTGAGCCCTTTGTGACTTTGTATCATTGGGATCTTCCATTGCATCTTCACGACTCGATCGGAGGGTGGTTAAACAAGCAAATTGTGTGAGTGTATAACATGAATTCTTTGCATCATTTATGTTTTGGACGATTTCGAGTTTTGTATCGTTTCCTAATTCTAATCGAGCCGTTTCGGGCCATGTCCAGGGACTACTTTGCCATATTTGCAGACGCTTGCTTTGCACATTTTGGCGATAGAGTGAAGAACTGGACCACGATTAATGAGCCGCTGCATATTGCCGTGGGAGGGTATGATACCGGAAGATCTGCCCCGGGGAGAAGCCACAATCCATCGGTCGAAACATATTTGGCTGCTCACCATATGATATTGGCACACTCTGCTGCTGTTTCCATATACCAAAACAAGTACAAGGTACAATGAAATCTACTTTCGTTACGGATCCCAAAAGTTTTCGGAAAAACCGTCCTTATAGGATCGGAAAAGGTTAGAACCCGACAGTGCAATGTCAGGTTCTCTTTTTCCATCCCCCATGTTCAGCTAATGCAAATTTGTAATGGAAAGTGACTTTTACTTGCAGGAGAAGCAAGGTGGGCAGATAGGATTAGTGGTCGATTGCGAATGGGCCGAGGCTAACTCGGATAAAATCGAAGATCAATGTGCTGCACAAAGGCGTGTTGAATTTCAGCTCGGATGGTAACACTTTCCCTCACATTCGATAATATCGTCTTCAGGATTCGAATTCAATTTTTGCACCACATTCAATACATGTACTACAGGTTCTTGCATCCATTGTACTTCGGAGACTACCCTAAAACCATGCGCGAACGACTCGGGGATCGGCTCCCCGAGTTCACCGACGAAGACAAGGAGCTAATACTCAATGGCCCCATGGACTTCGTCGGTCTAAACCAGTACACATCGAGGCTAGTTTTTCATGCAGAAGACAGCGGGGAAGAAGGTCATTTCGAGAAGTCACAACAGGTCGCAAAAATGGGTAAATCATAGACCAAACACCATAAGCCGATTTCTGTAAAATTTCAAACCGAAGTCGTGTCTCTAACTCGTGATATCGGTTATATGTCGACAGTGGAATGGGAAGACGGCGAGATGATCGGCGAAAAGGTACGAATCCTCGGTGTCCGTCGACTTGAGTTTCCAATCTTTGAACAGGTTTCGGTTTAATGGCAGGCTGCATCGGATTGGCTCTATATTGTTCCTTGGGGCATGCGGAAGGTTCTCAAATACATATCCGATACATACAATAACCCACCCATATATATAATGGAGAATGGTATGAAATTGAATTGTGGAATTTATTAAGGGATTAATTGTTGATTTAAATCGGGTCGAGTTGGATTTTAAAATTTTTTGGTCATTTTAATTTGGGTTAATTTTGAGTTTTTAGGATTTCGAGTTTAAATTATTTAGGATAAATTTTAACTTGTTTCATTTAACTTTCTTTTCACTTTTATTTTGATCATTAAAATTTATTTTAGTTAATTTACTTAATGAACTTTCGATATGTTCTTATTTTGGTCACTGAACTTAATTGTACAAGTTAAGATTGCTGACTTTTACGATCAAATATGAATTCGGGTTAGGGTTTTGTTTAAATTAATCAGATTCGGGTCGAAACCGAACAGTTTAATTAGTGTTGATAACATGAATGGTTTCTAAAATTTAGGTATGGATGATGAAGAAAATGAAAATGTCCCACTCCAGGAAGTGCTTGATGACAAAAGGAGGGTCGCCTTTTACAAAGGATACATTGCTGAAGTTGCTCAAGCAATCAAGTAAGTAATTCAAAAGGGATAAGTCAACTTTTAACCCTTAAAGTTGTCAACCTTTTTCCAATTTAATCCCTAAACTTTTTCGACCTGCATTAGTCCTTGAACTTGATCTTTTAATCATTTTAATGACTCGACAGGGATGGAGTGGATGTGAGGGGATATTGTGCATGGTCATTATTGGACAACTTTGAGTGGTCTCATGGCTACACCAAGCGGTTCGGTCTGGTCTACGTGGACTTCAAAAAGGGTCTAACCCGACACCCCAAGTCTTCTGCAATTTGGTTCAAAGACTTCTTGAAGGACAGCCAAGAATGAGAGAGCATTTAGCTGCCACAAACCACCGATTTCTATTAGTGCTATTACATTACATGTTGTGTCTTTGATTGTCTGATTTGAACATATGTGGTTGACAATTGTTTTATGATTTGAATAAATGTGGTTGGCAATTGCTTTTATGTTATCATGCTTATTTAATTTACCTATAATTTTAACTATGCATGTCAATTAAGGAAAAGAAAGATCATAATTGATTTATAATTTGTACAACAAATAAGGTGTACTTCAAGTCATTAAAGTCTTAGGATTTGTTGACATAATTCATGGTAGAGTTAATGAGAAAAAAATTAGTTTCGATGGTTTATCATTTATGATTTAAGTGAAGAATTGTAGTATGTTGTATAATGAGATTGTCAAAGAGAGAGAGTGGATTTGGGATCCCTTCTTTAGTCATGTTTGGTGACTTATATATTAATACCTAGTATTGGCGTCGGACTTATAGTGATGATGTCTATTTGTAGGTTGACAGTTTAAATAGATATGATTGTCATAAATTAGATAAAACTATGATCACGTGAGCATGCTAGTGAACATGACACTAGATTGTAGTTGGCTGAAAGTTAAGGAACTCCGGAGGCTTCCAAGAATTCTGGAAGCATATTGATCAGTGAAGGAGTTCCTCCAGAGGCTTTGATTAGTAGAGGAGTGGTGGCAGAGGTACCACATGCAGAAGAGATATGACAGAGATACAACACTTATTTCTCTTGGTCTAGAGAATGTCATAAAGTGTCTTGACCTAAGATGCGTTTATGAAAGCATTTATTGTATTTAATGAATTGTTTCTTAGAAACTATCATGATGATTGTTTTCAAGAGGTTAGTAGGGGTGTTCAAATCCGGGTACCCAGATCTTCGGGTAGTTGATTGGTTGGCTCGTGTCTCGACCCAGATGTTGCGGGTACCCAAATTTTGCGGATACTCGTAATTAGGGTAATCGAGTACCCAATTTTTTTTTATCATTTTCAAATTATTAATTTAAAAAAACATACAACTTATATTATTAAACATACATTTTAATGGGTGGATTGGTTTTTTTTTTTTTAATTTTAGTTTAAATTAATATATAAAATTATTAATAATTAAATACGTAATATTAGTATATATATATAAAAAATAAATGTAACAGGGTATTCGGATAATCGGGCACCCGAAAAAATGTAATTTGTGACTCGAGCCCAACTCGAGAAATATCGGTTCGGGTACTCGACCCGGTCAGATTTTTTTTTAAATAATTATCTGATCTTTTTAGTTTGGATCGGTGGATTAACGGGATGGGTCAACTGGGTCGAGTATTTTTTAACACCCTTAGAGGTTAGAGATTCACACGTGTATCACTCTATTATTAGTGCAGTCTGAAGGTGTGGCTTGTGATTGTTGGGAAGAATTTTAATAAGCTGCACATTGAATTTTAATAAGTTAATGTAACTTACATAATCGATTGTCAAATTTGATGTTGTCGTGAAAATCATGACTTCTAATATGAGTAAACAAATTTAAAAAAAAAGTCTATAAGGTTTAGAAAATGAGAAATATGATATAACAATGACTTTATTGGTCGAGAAAAAATTATATGAAACTCATCATGGACATACTGTAACACCCCCAAATCGATATGGGCCACCAGAGCAACACATTCTAAAAGTCCAGTGAAAATAAAATTTTTTTAAACCACTTCAAACTGTAAAACAATATACAAATAAAAATACAATTTCAAAAAATAATTTATATACTCTAATTACACTTGTACCATACTCTATAAGAAACACCAAAGGAACTCTCATACTAATGTCGATATTGCACTTGATCAATTCCTTGAACCTAAAATGGTGAGTAACATAGTGAGCTTTGGGAAAGATAAGTAATACAAAACTACCAAATGATGCTAGAGGACAAGCATGAATATGGTAAAGCATGAAATTTCCTTAGTTATTCAAGCATTTACAAGTATTATGATAAGCGGAAGTTCTACTTATATTTCTTCAGGTAAAAGACAGGAAGCTTACAGTTCAGAGGAACATATTCATGAGATCAAAATAGGATATCTAGTGAGTTCCCTCAAAGTTAGAATAAATGAATTCATAGTTTAAAAACAGTAATAATGTATTTCAGTAAAACAAATTTTTAAAATCAATGTAATACCCTCCAATCGAACACCTATATGTAGTTCCCCATAACTGCATCCATAAGGACTTACCTTAGGCCCATTGGGCGTAGGAGCCAACCTAAGGAAATGCCTTGGGGGCCTTAGAGCCTACCCAAGAAATACCTTGGGGCCTCAGAGCCTACCCAATGGAGTACTTTGGGGCCTGAAGGCCTGCCCAAGGGAACATCTTGGGGCCTAAGAGTCTACCCAAGGGTTACCTTAGGTCCGTAAGAAATTACCAGCTTTATCAGAGCTGGACCTCAATACTTCAACCTACTCAAATAGTATCCAAATAAAATAGTTTCAGATAATACCAGTAACATCAGAATTCAGGAGCCAATTGTACCTTGTATAAAAAATCAGAAATCATGTTTTTTTATTTCAAATAACAAAGTCAAACTTTTTGTATAGCAGAGAAAACATCTTTTTACATGGGGAACACAATAGAGGATGCAAATATTTTTTGGAGGCATTTGATAGTTATTAGGAACGATAACCATGAAACTTATGGCAATTGACCGAATTTCAGGAACAAGGTTCATATTAAAAGAGATCGATTACTAACAAGTCTAATCAGATATTTAAAATTGATAATTTAGGACTTAGGGTTTAGGTGCATCAAGAATGTAATATCCTAAAACCCGAGTTAGTGACTAAAATGGAAGTTTTTGAAATTTAGAGATCAATTTTGGAAAAATTGAAAAGTTCAAGGATTTAATTGGAGAATTATGATGTTGGATTTAGTAACAAAGTTTGATAGATGAGAGGGTATAATGGTCCTTTCAGAAGAAAGATTTTTTTTTCATTTTATGGGATATAAAAACATGTGGGGATGTGAGAAAGTAAAAGAAATGTCTCTCTTTTCTTCTCTTCCCGTGAGCTTTATTTCAAAGGTGAGTTTTTGGTAAGCTGATTATTCCTTGATTTTTAAGTTTGGGTTTTAGTCTTTGGGTGATACATAAGCCTAAGGAAAGCTTAAGGTGACTTAAAACTCAAAGATAAATGAGTTATGAGAGATTAAGTAAAAAGAGTTTTTAAGTGAATTATTGGAAGAGAGTTAGTAATTGAAGTTTGAGGTCATTTTTGACTTGTCAAGGTTAAGAAGTTAGAAGTAATAGAAGTGAATTAAGAACATGTTGAAAATTTAGTAAAATTCTTGGTTTCAAGAATTATAATGAGATATTGAAGATGATGATGTGTTATAGTGTTAAAAGATGGTTTAAGTATGTATAGTTGAGTCTAATAGCATGAAGGGAGTTAAATAAAGGAATTTTAAGTGAAATACTGATAATTTTCGGGTTAAAGATATATATTCTGGGTTAGTAGTATCAGTACTGGTTGAGTGAGTACCGACACTACAAGGCAAAATATGTGATTATTATGTGTAAGGTATCGATACTGCATGAACAATATCGATACTATAAGGCAAAAATGGGATAAATCTTCATGGGGTATCGATACTGAAGTGATAGTATCGGTACCATGGGTATCGATACCAATGTGGAGGTATCAGTACCATTCTTACGATGAAGTGATAGTATCGGTACATATAAGAATACATGTCTATGTGATATGAATGTGTATATGTGACAAACCTAAATGATAATGCCATGTTATGTGATATAAGAGCTAGGGGTATAGTTGGCATGCCAAGAGTCGAGGGTTCTACGTGGTCCTTCCAGATATATATGTAATATTTTGGAACATATATGCGGTTCTTTGTGACACATATTTGGTCCTTTGGAATATATATAAGATCCTTAAGGAGTGGTCCTTTGAGACATATATGTGATCCTTCGGGACATTTCTACGCAGTTCTTCGGGACAAATTTTATATGCTCTAGTGGAAATTTATACGAGTTGTGGTGACATCATATGTGCAAAACCTCTAAGTAATCACATATCTTTAGTTTTCATAAGTATATTTGGGCTAATAAAGAAATAACAACAAATACACCATATGTGATGTATTTGCTTTGTGATATGAAATGTATTGTTTGATTAAATGAGTTATATGATAGTTAAGAATGTTAAGTACAATAAAATATGACTAAAAGATATGAATGAATATAATATTGATAATGAAATAAGGTTAGTGATAATAATGACAAGATATGTATATGTACACATTTGACTATATGTAATGATATATTGTTTTGTGTGATATCATTGTATGAAATGTTCACGCATGGTTAAGTAGTTAGAGTTTCTATTATAAGTTTAATGCCTCACTAAGGCATCGACTTAGCGTGTGAATGTTTCACACGTAGGTTATGAGAAAATTAGGAAGCAGCGAGGGATATGATATGTCAGCTTCTCCTTTCTGAAGATCAGATCAGAAAAGCAATGATTTGTATGTATTTGATTTTAAAGAGTACATTTGGCATGTAATTAAAGATTTAGTTGAACATGCTCTGATCGGGTTAGTAAAACTATTTGATTATATTTAATATAAGTTATTCACTTTTTAATACAAATTTGAATCTTCAACTATTTTGTAAAAGAAAACGGTTTGTAAAGTCAATGTGACATCTCAGACTCGTATCCGGGTCGGATACAGGTTGGGGGTGTTACAAAGAAGGTGTTTGGGAACCTTTACATCAGAATAATTTAATATTTAGATACATCTAGAAATAGTTAGGATTCTTATAGATATATCAGGAGGGATTCCATTACTCAACCTACTAGGGGCATTTTGACATTTTGATTTCGAAAGAATTCTTTGTAAGTTAATCCAATCAAGATAAATGATGATTTATGAAATCCAAGATTTATATTGAATTATTCGAATTTTAAGTCAGATCAGACTAATCAGATCCCAACAATACGATGCTTACCAATAATTCAGACCAAGATTCTATATTCTCTTCGTAATACTGATTGCGCTAGCTGAACTGATTACAATCAGAAAAATCATTGATTGGTTCTTGAGGAGACGATTATATATTTTGATGTTATTATTTATTTCTGTATTGTATCAATATCAAGAATGCTCAACATGCCTGGGTCGTGCTCCATAACCTCTAAGGATGATACAACATTTAAGTTTATTGACGTTTCTAGAATTTATCCAAAGTCACTCACTTATTCCAAGTCATTAGGATATTTAGGTCACTTCAACACTTGAGGTTACTTCGGTCATCTTAGAGTTCAAGGTATTTTGGTCGTTTTAAGGTTCAGGGGTATTTTGGAAATTTGAATATTGAAAGTTATTTTAGTTATTTTGTAGCTCGAGAACATTTCGACAATTCTGTTCAATCTGAACCTATGTACTTTTTTCTAATATTTTGGTCAAGTTTGTTCTTTCAAGTTTATTTTTCACTTTTAGGGGCAATCTTGATCTTTTTATAGTACAATGACATTTTTGTAATTTTACTCCATAGGGCTATTTTGTAATTTCTTAACCAAGTATTCCCGACATTTAACCTTTAAAGAAATTAATTAGAATTTACAGATCTTGAGGTCAATTTATTTACTGTTTAATAACTTAACTTAGAATTGTTTTCAATCGGTTTTCCAAATTCTTATGCTAGCCATCTGAGTCTTGTACAATGTTCTGCATTTATACCGGATTCAGTTTGAGTCCAACAATAATTAAATACACCTAATTGACCAATCATTTTCATCCATGCATTTACAAATTATCAATGAGTTCCGAAAAGTATACAAATAGTATTAGAGTATTACCTCGATTTTTTAGCTACATCGGTCAATCATTTTAATTTCATTCGATTGCCCTTGAACTTGTATTCCACATCCCATAATATTTCTAATACAAAGCAAAATGAACTACGTCATAAATGAAACTTAATTGGGAACATTATTCGAATCGAAAGATAAAACACTGAAAAATAACTTACCGGGTTCAAATTTGAAAAAAATGAATTTCTAATTCAAACTCAGTACATCAAAAAGCATAAAATATGCATTTTAAAAAAATTGAATTTTTGGTTGAAGTCAATAGTTTGGGTCAAAGGTCAATAAAAGTCAACGACTCGATGGCTCGGCTCAGATTGAAAACGGCTTGGGTTACACGGCTCGATTAGGATTAGTTCAAATAGGTTCAAATGGTTCAGACAAGTTTAACTGGTCTTCTAGAAGATTCAGCCTAGCCGAGAATCCCACGTGCCAGGGCATTGCCTGACAGCGCATGTGACGTCAAAAAGGTCGGCCCTGGTCATCCGATTACTCATCGATCACTCCTTCACCAATAAACACTCAGATTCAAGCCAACAATTAATCAATCAATGACGAAATGGTCGAATAAATAAGTATTAGAGCTTACCCTGGTGGTTTGTGATAGAACGACGACGAGGCGATATTGCTAGTTGGGTTTTGTTTGGAAATGGTCGGAGAATTTGATAGCAGAGGCGGTGTGACGAACGACAGTCCAAATCAACCGAAAATCGAGCAAAACAACGATGGGCACTAGGGTTTACGACAAGCCTTCAACGACTTCTTTGCGATGATCCACGGCGGATCTTGACAAATAGCCATAGGGGTTTTGGTCGCAGGTGGACAACAATCATAATCAGGGTTTTAAATAGTATTTACGGTCACATTTTCGGTTGTGTCGTATTTATCACAGTTACAGACATAACATATATCATTATAGTCATTGCAGGTATCATGGTCATGAATTTTTTAAATGTCACACAACTTACCCTAAAATGATTAAATTAAATATAATTAAAATAAAATTGTAAAATTTAAAGTTCATAAATTTAGATTATTGAAATTAAGACTAAATTAAATAAAAAAATAAAGTTTATATTTCAAACTAGGGATTAAATTATAAATTTTAAAAGTGAGAGGGATTTTAAATTAATTTATCCTTTAAAATTATATTTTAAAAATTATTTAAAAAAAGAAATAAATCACCCTTCCCTTCTCCGACCTTTCTGGTTCTGGCCTTCTGCCTCCACCTCCCCTTCCTCCTTCCCCATCATAAATTGCGCCACCAATATTTGTGTAGGGAATGATGATTATTTGTTTTTATCTTGGAATCATGGTTATTGTGTCTCGTTATCGGTGTAATCGTCTGTTTCCCATTAAATTGCGAGTGCAATCAACCGAGATTGTTGTGAATCCATGACCCACCACAAAAATTATGAAAATCGGTTTCAGACGGTGATGCGACCGTAATATCACGGCCGTTATCACGTTTTTGAAACGCTATTTGATACCCTGATCACAGTGGTACCAACGGTGTCGATTACGGCAATCGGCTGACGACGGTGGATCATCGGGAATAAACGACGACAACTTGAACTTTGGGAAATTTGAAAATAGGGCTTGATTCAATTCTGATTAGGGAATTAAAATCCCAACTGATCAGTTTATAAAATTATTTCTATACCCATTACTGCACAAACAGTGCCCTAGCCACAGGGCATGGACGGCCATACTGTGCTGACAACTCTTTTACCCTTTGTTTCACGAGAGAGAGGGGATGGGATACTTTGAGGCTAAGTCCCTAAACTTATTATTAATTTGAAAATTTCCCCAAAATATTCAAGATATCACACTTTGGTCCCCATTTTCTTTCAATCGACTTTCACATTTTTAATACTTCTCAATTTAATCCTTCAAATAAATTTTGGGTGTCACGCATACGTTAAATTACATGTTATTTAATCAATAGCATGTGATAAAAATAAATGGTTAGAAAGGTTTTACAAGAGAAAGAAAACCAACAGAAAATCCTGAATCTCATTACATATTTTGGCCATCCTTTTCTCAAGAATTGTCCACTCAATTCTCCCTCTTTTTCTCCGACAACTTTGAGGAACAAAACCTACAATATTTTGTTTGTCTTTTTTTTTTTTATAATTTGGTTATGTTCCAAAACCATGGATTCTCATGATCTTTTGATATCTTCCTTGGTTGCAAAACCCCCTGCTCCTAAGAGGGGTCCTTCAATCTGTTGAAGGTTTCTCCCCAACACCAATGTCTCCGGCTGATTCGATTCGATTTGATTTAATTTTTATTTCTCGCGTGGCTAGCTGGATTAATGCGACTCGTTCTCTCGGTGTTCTGAACCCGACATCTTTTGCTCTTTCTGGTTCGAGGACGTTTCCAATTAACATTTCGGTAAAACAATAAAATGAATTGTTTTCCTTGTTTCTCCTCACAAAAGACCAAGGAGAGCACAAGCCAAAAGGACCATGATGTTTCCGACGTTGAAGAATTACAACCTCAACAATCTTCTGTACCTGGTACGTCGATTTTTTAATTAAGTTTTAATAAAAGATCGAAAATGATTTGATGGTATCTTTTAAAAGTGATTGCATGAATACTAATACGAATGAACACGAAGACGATTAGGTTAGATATCATCATTGAACGAAAACAACATTAAAACTATTGTATAGGTCCCCTATATTATGACATGAACTGTAATAATGTTATCAGTAGGTCAACATAGATAACATTATCCATTGCAATTGTTAAAACTACAACATAAATTGTTTATATTGTTTTTAAGCTAAACTATATCAAATACCATCAAATTGTAGGCGTTCTATCGTTTATACCACTAGGCTTTCAATTTTTTCAATTATAGCACTTAACTTAGATTTTTGTTTCAATTATACCACTGAATCGTTAAATTGTTAACGGCATGATGACATGGCTGACGGTCATCGACGTAGAGTCCTCACCAATACAACATCGTTTTGATCTAACTGTTAACAATTCTACGTCCAAGTGGTATAATTGAAACAAAAAACAAAGTTTAGTGTTATAATTGACAAAATTAAAAGTTTAGTGGTATAATGATACAACGCCTAAAGTTCGATGATATCTGATGTAGGTTACCCTTGTTTTTAAGTTACATAAGCAGAGTCTTCCGAAAGTACAATCTATCATATTCAACCAATATTATCACTTTAATGACCCCTAATAAGCCCTTTGATTAAATGGTACAATTGCAGTTTAGTCCCTCTAAAAATCAATACTTCAATTTAGTTATTGTTAGCTATTTTGACAATTTTTTATTTTATCTCGACCTCTCAACGTAGCATTCCTGGCTTCACCCCTATTAAAGATGACTCAATGAAATTACAAAAGTAAAGGAATCAAACTAAACCAAATTAAAAGAGAAGTATTAAATCCTAAATTTCAGCTCAGTAGGGACTAAATCCACAATTATTTTTGTGAAAACCAGAAACAGAAAATAAGGAGACACCCCCACCTCCTCCTACAACTGCCCCGGCTGACTATGACAACAATAGCTCGATCAAAGCATTCAACTTCCGTGAGTTAGCCTCAGCCACCAAGAATTTCAAGCAAGAAAGTTTACTGGGTGAAGGTAGTCTCGGCAAAGTTTACAAGGGAACTATTCAGGGCCAGGTCCGTTTTTTACATCCCTACTTTTCGTATATTCAAGAGATCATATGTTTATATCGTACCCGGATATGTGTCGGACACGAATGTCGCACCTCGGGTTATGTATTTCTAATGAATTGTTTATTTTGATTTGGACACAAAAAAATGTATAGGATGTTGCTGTGAAACAACTTGATAGGAATGCAATGGAAGGGAGCAGTGAGTTCTTTGTGGAAGTTGGGCAGCTGGGTTTACTACAGCATGCGAATTTGGTCAGTCTTGTCGGATATTGTGCTGATGGGGACCAGAGGCTTTTGGTTTATGAGTTCATGCCAGGGGGGTCCTTACAAGATCATCTCCATGGTACATGTTTTTTCTCTTCCATTTTCATGCCAACGTTTTCGGGTTAATTTCGCCAAATATCCCTGAACTATCGTCTAGGTCGGTCCATATATTTCGAAACATTTAAAATAGACAATGTCATTGAAAATTTGAGGGTTCAATTAGAGGGACCAATTTAAAATAGAACCGTAGTTTAAAGACGGCTAGTATAATTAACCCGATATTTCATACCAACACTTAATTTACTTTCACTGAATATCCGCAAACTATAGCCTAGGTTATGAATCGGTCCCTATACTTCAAAATATTCCGATTGATCATTCTCAGTATTGCATCAATCAGGTTCGTCTATCGGTCTGGTTATCAGTTTGGTTGTTAAATGTCGGTTCATATCTATTCATATCTATAAAACAAATAGATATTGTCATCCAAAATACCTGAACTGATGGTAAAGTTGACGGAAGGACTTGATTGATATGAAATTGATAATTTGAGGGCCCAATTTAGAAAAAATCATAATTTAGAGACATATGATATAATTAACCCGATATTTTATACATGTTTTGTGTTAATATTTTTTCAAGCAGGAGATAAGCAGCGATTGGATTGGGTGACAAGAATGAAAATAGCACACGGGACAGCTCTAGGGCTACAATACTTGCATGAGAAGGCAAAGCCTCCTGTAATATACCGTGACCTCAAGTCCTCAAAGGTTCTTCTGGACGACGAATTCAACCCGAAGTTGTCGAACATCGGGCTCGACAAGCTCGGGCCTCCGACCGACAGCAATATGCTGGTGCCGTCGAAGATAAGGGAAAACAATGGTTACAACGCTCCGGAGTGTGTTAATTCCGGTACCGTTAATGCACATACGGATGTCTATAGTTTCGGAGTTGTTCTGCTGGAGATTATCTCCGGCAGAAAAGCACTGGACACTTCCAAACCGGAGGAAGAGCAAATGTTAGTTAATTGGGTAAGTGCATTGCTGGATTTCTCTAATTGAATTTGATTATAGCCGTCTATTAGAGAGGTCGGGTTAATTTCGAGTCGAATCAATTTAAGTTTTAAATTTTTTTGGATCATTTTGAATTCATATAGTTTTATATGTGTCGTTTTGGGTTTAAACCATTCAAACATTTTCAGTTACGCTTTTTCCTATAGAATTATTTTCAATTCTAATAATTTGATTTTCCAACCATATCATTTTAGATTCTGGTCAATTAGGTTGTAACACTTGGGTTTGGATATTTAGGGTTTTGTTATTTGAGTTTGATATAAGGATGGGACGGGACTTGAATTCGACGGGTTTCGATCTTGTCTGACCCAATGAAATTGGAGAAAATATGTTTGGGTCGGGTCGGGTCGAGTTCTGATTTAAGGTGAAAAATACCCGACTAGGCTCAACCCGAAAAATGATGTGAATTTACCTTATATATTTAGGGATAATTACAATAATAACTCTTTATATATTATTTTTTTCAATTAGATCCCTATTTTGAATAAATATAATATTTTTTTATAAATATATTTATTTATGGTCGGGTCAAGTTAGATTCAGGTAGAATGAAGTCACCCTAAATTTGGGTTTGATTTTTATTTCGGATTTTTAAATTCGAGTCTATTTTCGAGTTTTTGGCAAATTTAATTAGAGATAATTGTGTGATTGGAACAGGCACAACCAATATTCAAGGAACCAAAATATTTCCCACAAATGGCAGATCCATCAATGAACAAAGAATTCCCAGAAGGAGGATTGAATCAAGCTGTAGCAATGGCGGCCATGTGCGTGCAAGAAGAAGCTGCTGCTCGGCCATTGATAAGTGATTTAGCTTCCGTCTTAGGTTTCCTCTCCGTCGCCAACCAAGGAAACAATATCCCCGAAGATCTCTCTCCTTCCGTCTCATCCAAATTGAAGGCCCTCTCCGGTAAGATTCAAGTCTCCGACGACGATGACGAAGAAGCTTGGGGGAACTCGAACGAGGACGACGAGAGAAGTGATAACGAATCCGATAACGATGACGAATGCGGCTGCAGTGATGCATCCTTGACAGGCAGCAGCAATGCGGAAAAGAGTTTAGATCAAAAACAGAGTCTAAAATCGGACCGTTCTCTCAGCCACAGGAGTAGCAGGAGATCGTCGAGTTTGTTAGGCAGTAGCCGTAAGAAATCGAGGAGCGATTCGTCTTGCAGTGACGAGGAGGAGGAGTCGAGCCGTAAGGGCAGCGACGCACCCAAGGGTAACCCGTAAGACGACGACGAAGGCAACGCTTCGTCGACCGAAAAATTAATCGACGAAAGCCGAAACGACAGCATGAAATCGGTCGACGAGACGGAGGACTCTCCGGGGAAAAAGAGCCGAAAGAAATCGAGTGACAAGAAATCGAAGGACCGAAAGAGTAGCAAGAAGAAGAAGAAATCAGAGGAAGAAAATGATTCGTCACGCTGTAAGAGCGGTTCCACAAAAAAGAGTCGTCGGAAAGCTAAGAAACATAGCGATAACGACGACGATTCACTCGGAGGATCACAGCCTGAAAACTGAAGCAATATTGCTGAACTTTACTATACAAAGGCCAGAACACAAGTAGTAGCCCTTTTCCTTTTGGTTTTACGTGTGAGTTTATTATTGTTATCGTTGTTGTTGTTATTGTTGTTGTCATTGTTGTTGTCTAAAAAAAAAATCAAAGCATGTGTTAGTTTTTAAGTAGAACAACACTAAACTTTAGGCGTTGTATCATTCGTATTATTGAACTTTCAATTTTGTTAATAACAACACTAAACTTTGATTTTCATTTCAATTATACCGCTGATATATTAAATCATTGATGACACGATGACATGGCTGACGGCTGTCGACGTAGACACCTCACTAAAATGACATCGTTTTGATCCGACTGTTAACCATTTAACGACCCAGGAGTATAACTGAAACGAAAATCAAAGTTCGATGCTATAATTAGTAAAACAAAAAGTTCGATGGTATAAACGATACAACGCCCAAACTTATGTGTCATCAATTAACATTTTATATTAATTGACGAATTTAATTAAATTCATTAACATCATCATTCACATACAAATTATATGTAGCAATGACTTGATTCAGTAGTGCTTGAAATCCAAAACCATGTGGCCTACATGGAAGAAAAAATTAATAATTTACTATATTCGAAGATAAAAATGAAAAATAAAATTCTAAGATACGAAAATAACACGGATATTATACAAATACCCTAATTTTGTAGCAGGTTGATGTGTAGTTATCTGAGAAAAATGCTGCCAATAATTAATCCAGTTTGTGCTGGCCAAAGAGGATCCACTCCAAATTCCCTGCCCCATCTATACAATTTGAATCATGTAAAAGGAGTAAAATGTAAAAAAAAAATCATTATTTCCCAATTTGAAACATCTTAATTTTTACAATACTGTTAACGTTATTTTTTCTCCGTCATGATTTTAATTAGGGTAAATTATATGTTTAGTACCTCAATTAGCATTTTTTTCCGTTTTAGTCATTCTACTCTTTTGTTTTTCAAAATCATACCTAATATTATCTTTTGGTCACCCGCCATTAAAAGCTACGTCAATTGAAAAAAGTTTAAACAAACGCTATGTCGTCAACAGTTCTGTTAATTTTTAACGATGGGTGACCAAAATGAAATCAAAATGCTATATTATGTATGCTTTTGGAAAAAAAAATAATTGGGTGCCCAAAACAAAAAGTGACAGTAATTATTCGGACTAACTAATAAAATAGAGGGTGAAGTACATAAATGGTCCTCCAACTATATGGTGTTGCTTTGTTGAGTCTCCAGAATATGAAAAGCTATAAAATGATCCCCCAATTATATGGCGTATTTTGTTAAGTTCATCAACTATTAAAAGTTACAAAATGGTCACTCGACTATTCATATGTTCCAAACTCGTCCTTTTCCAATAAAAAAAATTGACGATAATCTAAGCTGGACATTAACCTTTTCATTGAGATATGATTAAATCTAATCCTAGAATCTTAAACGACTATCACATCTCAGTCGGCATGTTAATGTCCAACCCAGACGACCGTCAATTATTTAACAGAAAATGAAGAGTTTGGAACATATGAATAGTTGGGTGACAATTTTGTAACTTTTAATAGTCGAGAAACTCAACAAAATAACGCCCTATAATCGGGTGACTCAACAAAGCAACACCCTTTAGTCAGGGGACTATTTGTGTACTTTACCCGAATATAGAAGTATAGAAAAGAAATTAACCTGAGGAAATTGAAAGGTAAAATAGAAATCCAGACGGAACTCCGGTGGGAGATTTGTTGTCGGAAAAAGGTAGCCATTGGAGGCTTCAATGGCATTGTTCATCACAATTTCAGTCGAGTTATGAGCATCAATCAATGAACTCCCATCAGCTGGTGTTTCCATTGCTTGAGGCCTAATTAATTATAAAAAAAATGTTACCAAATGTTTACGCAATCAAAATATATCTCGATTTCATGATAAAACGAAGAATTATAGATATTAAGATTCGAATCTAAAAAAAATATTTACTGAAATAAATGACATACATAAATGGAAGTTCAACAACATTGGCTTGCTCATGATTGAGTTGTTCATCTACTCCAATGATTTCATCTATGAACGACGATGATGAAGATGAAGAATTTCCTGCATATTCATTCTCCGTTTCCATTTGTTGATCTTGGTATATGACTCTTCAGTATTAAAATATATTGAGACTAATAAAGTGGATATATTAATATGAAAATGAATAAAATTAAAAAATGAAACACAATTTTCTTATTATTTGAAAAAAAAAATTGAAACTCTATTGGAAAATCTAAAAAGTTATTCAGACAAAGCTTTTTTTTCCTTACCACACTTTTCGACAAAGATTGCTGTTTGATTTTAGTTAATACATATAAATATATATTTATTTATATATTTGTATATTAATAATTAAGAATTGGCTAATTATGGAAAAAAACCTATTTAGGATTTTGGTAGAAATATATATATTTATATATTCAGTTTTAATAAAAGATAAAATTCGATTTTTTGGGACTTGTGATAAAAAATGGTCGGGTCAAATTTTCATCCATTACTATTTAATATATATATATATATAATAATTATTCATCTCTATTCATAAGCATGATTTACATAATATATATATTAATCCTACACACACATATACATATGTATGATGATTGTTAACATAATGAAAAGTAACAGAAAAATAATAATAGGTTGAATCTCAGTTCGAAGAAGTCTGATTATAATTTTCAATTATTTTTTAATTAACTCATCTTTCTTGGTATTTTAGAACTCACATATGCTTGAAAAATGAACTTCAAACTCGACATCACAAATACCTTCAAACATGATCTGAACTTCAAGCCTGTTGTCGTTTGTTGACTGACGATTTACATAATCTATATATGGATGGATCTTACACATGTAATTATGTATGATGATTATTAACATATTGAAAAGTAAAGAAAAATAATAATAACAGAACCCTAGTCCAAAAAGAAGTCTGATTTTGTAAAATTTTAATTAAATGATCTTCTCGTTTAGATGCTTGAAAAATGAACTTCAAACCCAAAATAAAAAATACTTATAAATCAGGTTTAAACGTAATCACCATTTTTCAAACTAAACCAAAGAGTCCAACCAGAACTCATACATAACCAAACACCAAATTAAACCCAAACCCAAAGGCTCAAACCCGAAACCCAACTACCTAACTACCCAAAATTCGATCCGAGACAAACCAAACCCGACCCAAAAATCTAATCCAACCTAGCTGGCAGCCCCCTATTACACCAAACCAGCTTCCACCTCTTCCTGCCCCAATCGAAGACTACCCCAATTCTACCCCAATCCCAGCTATTCACCAATAGTACACTTCACTCTACCCTGCAAAAAAAGGAAAAAGAAAACAAATTAGAATCATTTTACTTTAAAAAAATGGGTATTTAACCCATCAATTAAATTGTATCTAGGATAAGGATTTGTGGAACATGGAAGGAGGTGCTAGCCTTAGTTGGAACTTTAATAAAATTCTTAAACTTAGAACTACATCACACCCTGTCCTTTCGAGTGGAGCTTCCACTATTAGGGAAATTTGGCTAGAGATTCGAAACAAGGAAAATAAAGTCCCCTGGCACACCTTGATATGGTTCCCACAACACATTCCTAAACATAATCTGATAGTATGGATGGTGTTATTAGATAGACTACCTACTCGTGATCGTCTTATACGCATGGGGATTAATATTAATGGGATTTGTGTTATGTGTAATGAAATGTTGGAAAGTCGGAATCATTTGTTCTTTGATTGCTCCATTACTTTTGTTTTGAGAGGAAAAATTCTGCTCCTCAACATACTAAACAAGACATTCTCATCTTGGGAGGACATGGTAACTTGGGGTTGTAATACATGGAAAGGTAAATCTCTCATTTCTACTATCCTTAAACTTGCTTGGTGTGCAAACATCTATGTTTTGTGGGAGGAACGCAACCGAAGAATCTTCAAGGGATGCTCCAGAACTGACGATGAACTTCTCAACAGCATCAAAGACTTTGTTGGAATTAAGCTTAGGGGAATAAACATAAATAGGCTTGATTATGTAAACTCCAACATTTGTACTTCTTGGGGTATTGATTAACTGATCTCTCTTTTATGTATTACCAGAAATTTTGTTCAGTGATCGGTAATTGTTTTGTAGCAAACATTGATTCTTTGGGTAATAAAATTATTCATTTATCCAAAAAAAAAAAAACTATAACAAGGGTTCGAAAATCCCTCTAAAAAGACACTGTATTATTCTGTTCAAGCAATAACAGTATACACAGGTTTTTTATCCTCGTTTATTTTTATTTTTTATTGTATTCGATTAGCTGTTTTTTTATTCTTACTTTGTTCCAGTAGATAAAAAAATTTCTTTTTAGTTCTGAAGATACTAATTTTTTACCCATATTAATTATTATTATTATTATTATTATTATTATTATTATTATTATTATTATTATCATTATTATTATTATTAAATATATTAAATACATATATAAATATTATTAAAAAATAATTAATTACAAACCAATTTTTTGGCCCAAACCAAACTGAAACCCAAAAACATTTAGGGTTTCAGTTAGGGTTTCCTAACCCTAATCCCAGCCGCCTCAGCTTGCTGCCGTTGGATCTGGCAGGATCCAACAGTCCAGATGGCTCCAGATATAAACCCTAGGGTAT